TTTTTTTTTTTTTTTTGTTGTGATCAAACTAGAAGTTTTAGGGTAAATTTGAAATGTTACAACCTTTAATTTTGATGTTTAGTAAGTAAAGGTTGAAAAATTCTAGTTTTAGAAAAACTCAATATAAGAGCTTGGTTAACAAGCCTAATTCGACTTGACTCGACTCGATAAGGTTCGTTAAAGTGTCGATAAAAAAATTTTATATAACTTTTATAGTTCGACATGTTAAAATTTGGGATCGGTTGGTGAAAGATCGAGCGTTAGGCATTAACGAGCCGAGCTCGTGCACCCTAAGCTTGAGTTGAGCTGAACTGAGCTCGGCTCGGCTCGGGTCCAAACCTCTAATCATAAATGGAAATGTGAAATCAGACATAGTGGGGGTATTACCGTCATTACGTATTCTTACATTCGTCCTGTCTTGCACCTTAAGCAGCCTCTTTCTTTTCACGTATAAACCTCACTGCTCTTTTTATTAGCATCTCTTCTGATCACAAATCAGAGCAAAACTTGTTTTGAGAAGTCAAATTGCAAGCAATCATCGGTGATCAAAAAGACCTAATTTCTGTTAGAAGATCATATTTTTGAAGAATGAGCCGTGGTAGTGGAGGCGGATACGATCGACACATCACCATCTTCTCTCCGGAAGGTCGACTGTATCAAGTTGGTGAGCACTTGCACTTATGGAGAACACAATTTTTCGGATTGTGTGTGAATCTTTATGCCTTGATTTGGCTAGAGTATGGTTGTTCGGTTGCTTGGTTAGGAATTAGGGTTTATGTAGCTATGTCTGCGTCATTTTTGCAGAATATGCCTTCAAAGCTGTTAAGGCCGCCGGAATAACGTCGATTGGGGTTCGTGGGGCGGATTCAGTTTGTGTTGTTACACAGAAGAAAGTCCCGGTGGGTTATTTTCTTGTTCTCTATGTTTAGTTCGGTAATGTGCTTTTGTTTTTATGTGAGTTGTGTTTATCGTGCGGGTAATGTGTGAGCAGGACAAACTTTTGGACCAGACAAGCGTCACCCATTTGTTTCCCGTTACCAAGTACCTTGGTTTGTTGGCTACGGGCATGACGGGTACCCTTCTGCTTACTTATAATTTCGTAAATGGGGACACTGATTGCCATTCTAATGCAATAAATTTGGAATTTACTTTTTCATGGCGCTGTGGGGTTAATATCCATGGTAAAGAAATCTTGTTTGGCGAACTATGTCAAATCAATTAGGTGCCTATATGTATTGGGTGGCATTGTGATAGGTTTATGAACTGATGTATCCAATCATCAGAGTTTTTGGTTGTCAGGGGATATTTTTCTATTTGTAAAGCCATAATGACTTTTATTTGGCAAGGTCCAAATTTGAATTCTGCTTGTAGTCGAGCATTATAATGTCAGAAAGATGTTAAACATGATATTTACTATGTGAAAAAGTGGAATCTTGATTACTTCTTCATAGTTTGTACAAGAATAGATGAATTGAAACATTTCCTTTACTACCCAGCTGATGCAAGAACTCTGGTTCATCAAGCAAGGAATGAAGCTGCTGAGTTTCGCTTCAGATATGGTTATGAAATGCCTGTTGACTCTTTGGCACGATGGTATCTTTATTTTGGCAAACTGAAATACGTTTTTAACTATATGCTTTGTCTCTTATGGTTAAGAAGCAATTAGTCTTGCTTATAGTTATCTCTCCAAGTGAGTAATAGTGCTTACACAACAATTTTGTTAGCTTGGGATATATTGCTAATTTGGCAGCCGTGTATGATATGCACTCCTGCAAAGTTTATATGAATATCTTCATGTAAACATTTTTCATAAGATAAAAATTGGTGGATTTCTTCGCATTTATAGTTTTAAGTGTGTACATTGGAATGCAGGATTGCTGACAAGTCTCAGGTGTACACACAGCATGCCTATATGAGACCACTTGGCGTAGGTTTGTTACATATCTCATTTCAATTGGCAAACCCTTGGCCTTCAGTGTTGCTTTTCCAAATCATATTGTTCTATTTATTAATTTGCATTTTTTTGGTATAAAGTTGCTATGATTTTGGGTATTGATGATGAGAAAGGTCCTCAGCTCTTCAAGTGCGATCCCGCTGGTCATTTTTTCGGTCATAAGGTAATTTGGTTTTGAATGCTTTATTTGGGTTTCCACACATGGGATATCTGGGTATTTCCATATTTTTTTATTTAAGTTACTTCTAAGAAGATATTACATTAAAGAAACAAACTGCTTTTTCATGAGCTCCTCAAAATGGTATGAGATCTTTTTTTATTTTTTCTTGCTGATTGAAGGGAACATTCAGTAATAAGTTGTAAAGATTTCTTTACCCAACCTATTTTGGATCGAAAAGATATTTACGTTTGATTTTGTTTTCTGATAGGCAACAAGTGCTGGAGGGAAAGAGCAAGAAGCTATTAATTTCTTAGAAAAGAAGATGAAGAATGATCCTGCATTCTCATATGAAGAAACTGTGCAGGTATTAAATGCATATTATTGATGAGCCCTAATAATTGTTTGCATGTAGGATTTTAACTTGATTGTTTAACTGCATTAGGCATTAGTAATGGACGTAGCATGTGCTAGTTGAGTTAATGTTATCATTTGCTAGTATGTAAATTTGCTCTCAGAATCAACTCCTGGTTTAAAGATTATGTGAACACCACAAAGCTTAGATCATTATTTAAGAACATATCTATAAAGATACTAGTGCGTTACTTTCATGACTCATCTAAGCTACCTGCTTAGTCAATAATTCAAACTGAATCATGTAAAACCTTGGCCAATAGTCAATACTCTCTCTCTCTCTCTCTCTCTCTCTCTCTCTCTCTCTCTCTCCCTCCCTCCCTCACCCTCACTCCCTCCCTCTCTCTCTTTTCCTCCCTCCCTCCCTCTCCCTCTCCATCTCTCTCCCTCTCTCTCTCTCTCACAATTTAAGGCTTTTTGTTTTCGCAACTATGAATTTTTGAGTTGCTTGAAGACTTGGTTGAGTGATCACCGCCAAGTAAGATCCGTATCATTTACTAAAACCTGCTTTCTGTTATCTGATGTATTTTTGTAAGATAATAAAGGTATCGAGAAGAATAATTAATTCTAAAACGAGAGAAGTGAAGGATGATTTGTTAACAGTGACTAGTATAGTTTTATCTTAACATATTTTCATGACTTATTCTCTATGGGTGTTTAATGACGGCTTATTCTATGATACGATCTGAACATTTTTCAGTCCAAATTTTGGTTTCTGTAGGGCAAACTTTTAGTTGATCTACATGGTAAAATTTTATTTTCAAGGGAGTAGAGCTGAACATATAGTCTCTTCGAATTAGTCTTCAGGCTGAGAAAACAAATTTTTACGAATAAGGATCTCTTTGTTTTCTCATAGGACTACTACTAGCATTGGCCAATAGTATGGTGTAAGAACAAAGGACATTTTTTTTTTTTTTTT